TTGTAATTCTGAAGAAATACAGGGGTTGGACAAATATGGAAACACTACATCAGGGGTGCCCAAACTTTTTTCAAAGAGGGCCAGATTGGATGAAGTGAACATGGTGGAGGGCCGAACATTTTTCCAAACATTCTTTGAACCATTACAATTAAATGCAAATAAATTATTTTATGCCAAGTTACCGTATTTTTCGCCGTATAAGACGCACCTGACCATAAGACGCACCTAGGTTTTAGAGGCAGAAAACAGGAAAAAAAAAAAATTCTGAACTAATGGACTGCAGACACAGTACAGGAGATGACCAGAGACTGCGGACAGCACAGGGATGACCAGAGACTGCGGACAGCACAGGGATGACCAGAGACTGCGGACAGCACAGGGATGACCAGAGACTGCGGACAGCACAGGGATGACCAGAGACTGCGGACAGCACAGGGATGACCAGAGACTGTGGACAGTACAGATGACTGCTGACCTTTGGGGAGGTGGGGAGCGGGTACCTGAATTTGACAGGTACCCGCTCTTACTTCCGCAGTTGTTCTTTGATCTTACCTGTTCCTCGATCCAGCCGCGCGCTGTCTTCCCGGCTTCTGTAATGGCGCTCGGCATGACAGCCGGGTGCCCAGTGCGCATGAGCGAGAAGCACTTGCGCTTTGTGATTGGTCCGGCGGCTTCTGGGATCTGTCATGTGTCCCAGGTACCGCCTTACCATTCACAAAAAGCACCGCTTCTTGCGCATGCGCACTTGGCACCCGGCTGTCATGCCCAGCGCCCACACTACAGAAGCCGGGAAGACAGCGCGCCGCTGGATAGAGGAACAGGTAAGGTCCCGCTGCAGAGCTGAGCGGCCGGCCCAGTATTCTGACACGGCCGCGGTGGAAATACCGGACCGGCCGCTCCATATTCGCTCCATAAGACACACTGACACACTGACATGGAGGGCCGTATTAAACCGACCCTCGGGCCATAAATGGCCCGCGGGCCGGACTTTGGACATGCCTGCACTACATGATCTGCAGGTGTGAAAGTGACATGTTTTGCTACTAGCAATCCAGAACCATGTCAGATCTTGCTGTGTTTCAAAGAGGACTTAGCTGGTGCCTCTGTTACTGAAGTAGCCAATCTATTTGCCGTATCACAAGGAACAGTATCAAAAGGTTATGACAGCATATAGTTTCCAGAAAATATGCCATCGGCAAAAGTAAGGTCAGCCTGGTCAATTGACTGAAAAAGACACTGCACAGGATTGTGACCTGGAATTGTACCGCAAAGAACAGCATGTGATTTGAACAGGAATATTATTCCTGTCCACATGCGGTTTCCCCACTGCTCCTGTGTGAACCCTGGCTTGTCATAGCCTGGGTTCACACAAGGCCGGTGCGGGAAACCTCCTGCACCAATCTCACGTTGAGTGGAGAGTGTGTAAGAGATAGGGAAAGTTTCCCGCTCCTATGTGAACGTAAGCTATGACAAGCCTAGGTTCACACGGGAGCAGTGGGGAAGCCGCATGCGACTTGGACAGGAATAGCATTTCTGTTCAAATTGCATGCTATTCTTTGTGGTGCAATTTGCGCCCATGCATTTTTTATTGACGCAAATCTCGCCACAAAGTATTGGTGAGTACTTGTCCAAAAATATCGGCACTCGCCAATCAAAAAATGGTATTGGTGCATCTCTATAAACTATCAATCAGCTGCTGCATCTGCAGGGCTCTAGTGAGGAAAATGGCAGGGCCTGCATCCCTTTATTCATAATTTCCCTTAGGAAGTATCTCACCAAAAATGACATTTTTGTTGCAGGTGATGCCAAAAATCTGATTTGTATCTTAGTACAGACTTCTGGGAATATCAGTGAGCCAATCACACAAGCAGAAAATGTCATTCTGGGGAAGCCCTGTACACGGTGTACAAAAGGTCTTCAGGTTGCCACAGCACACTGCATTTTCCAGAAAAATTACAGCATTGCACACTAAAAAGGAAAGATACTTTTTACTAACATTCAATTGTAATATGACTTGTGTAGCGATTCTATACACCATATTTTTTGCTTCTTTTTTTTTCCAGGAAAGTGAAGTTACCCTTTAAAAAGAAGAAAAAATTCCACCCTTGCAGTGAGATCCAGCACTGCAAGTCTTAACCGTTTCCGCACCGCCTTACAGCAGAAATATTGCTACAGGGCAGCATTGCTGCGCAAAATCACGTACATACACGTAATTTTGCAGCTCCGGGTAGGAGGCGCGCCGCCATTGGCAGCTTCGGCTGTCAATCACTGGGTCCAGGCTGGCAATTCCCCGCCGGCACCCGGCGATCACGGAGTATCACTGATGGGGAAGAGACCTGTTTATAAACACCACAGATCTCTCCCCTGTCAGCTCCTGTACACTACTTAGTATGGCTCTGCATAGCAGAGTCATACAAAGCAGTGTGCTTACAGTGTAAAGCACACACCCAGCACACATTTAACCCTTTGATCGCCCCAGATGTTAACCCCTTCCTGTCCAGTGCCATTAGTACAGTGTCAGTGCTTTTTAATAGCACTGATCACTGTATTGGTGCCACTGGGGATGTCAGTGACACCAAGTCAGTTCCCCGTGTCAGAATGCCCTCCGCAGTCCCGCTATAAGTCGCTAATCACCGCCATTACTAGTAAAAATACATATAAGTAGAGTAAAAAATACCAGTATATATACCCGCCATTTGTAAACGCTATAACTTTCACGTAAACCAATTAATTTACACGTATTGGGATTTATTTTTTAGTAAAGACATGTAGCAGAATACATTTTGGCCTAAATTTATGACAAAATTTGATTTCAATTTTTTTACTGCGCATATTTAATAGAAAACAGTCAAAAAATATGGGGTTTTTTTTTTTCAAAACTGTCAGACTTTTTTTGTTTATAGTGCAAAAAATAAAAAACCGCAGAGGTGATCAAATACCACAGAAAGAAAGCTCTATTTGTGAGGGGAAAAGGATGTAAATTTCATTTGGGTGCAGCGCTGCATGACCGCGCAATTGTCAAAGTAACGCAGTGCTGTATTGCAAAATTAGGCCTGGTCAGGAGGGGGGGGGGGTAAAACTTCCTGAGGGCAAGTGGTTAAATGCTTGTCCTCCTCTACCTGAAGGTCCAGTGTCATCGCGTACAATATAGGGACATTAACCCTGTATTGCATACTGAAGAGGCTGGAAAGTGAGCAGAGCCTGTTGTCGCTTACAGAAGCATCTGTGGGAAACTGCTGGTCACAGCACTGGAGGAAGCGAGAAATAACGTATTTACACCTTATCGCTGCAACCCTAGACATAAAACACACAAATTGGAGTTGAAAGCGTTCAAGTAAATGGGGTCTTACTGTAAACACCCCAAAATTGCGGTACTTGCTATCAAGGGTTAAAGTGTTACTAAACCCAGGACCCTGCATTCACTATATCTGGTCTCTCACAGTACACAGAATATGGAAATGCAATTATTTTAGTAAATATAACCTGCTAAATACCTTTTCTCATCAGCAGTTAGAGCAGTCTTGTGACTTCAGCAGAGCACTAGTTAAAGCTTGTAGGAGGAATTTTCTTTCTGCTCTAGGAGGATGCAAAACCCCTGACCTCTGTCTGGACAGTGCTGATTGGCCCTGTGCTGATCACATGCACTCTCCCAAGAAGAAAAAAACCTCTGTATCAATACACACCAAACTGAGCATGTACATGTGGTTGCGGGTTCAGTCTGTCTTATCAGCATGGACAGTTGAACAAGAGGAGGGGCAGAGAAGTCAGGATCTAACAGCCTTTTTACGCAATGCAGAGGATTAACCCCTTAGGTTCCACAGTGAGTATAACAATCATGCTTTACTGCATATACAGACTGATTGTACTGTTGTGGGTTTAGTAACACTAAGTAGCACTGCCACTTAGAAATGCAGACAGTAGGCGCTCCACCCAGAAGGGGAAGTTCCACTTTAAGGGCTGCTGCCCCGCTCCCCATTAAGGATTGGCACCTTTGGGGGGCAGGGGCACTCGAATTTGACAGGAACCCGCTCCCAGTCAGATTGCCTAGGCGATCAGAAACAGAAGGTGTCCTCCCTCCCTCCCTGTAGTCTTTTGGGACACGTGAAAGGTCCCAGAAGACTACAGGACCATTCATGAAGTGCAGCGCTGCGCAGTGGGTACCTGGTTATGAAGCCGCAAGCTATCACAGCCGGGTGCCCATAGTGAAGATGCCGGCCACCTGGAATACAGGACGGCCAGTGAAACCAGCTGCGGGGGACACATCACAGGACCGAGGGACAGGTAAGAGGCTGTTTTTTTAGAAGTCAGCAGCTACAGTTTTTGTAGCTGCTGACTTATTTTTTGACAGCGTGAGTGGAACTCCGCTTTAATTATAAAGTAACTAGAAGTCTTGTGACTTCTATCAGTGTCCACCAGAGCACTGGTTAAAGCTTGGAGGATGAGTTTTCTTTCTGCTCTAGGAGGATGCAGAACCCCTGACCTCTGTCTGCACAATGCTGATTGGTACTGTGCTCATCACATGCACTCTAAGAAAAAAAAAAAAACCCTCTGTAGCAATACACACCAAACTGAGCATGTGCAGAGTGCCTTCACACCATATGTCTTATCAGGAGATAAGAGGGGGGGGGACACTGGAAGGAGAGGATCAGAGATGTCAGGATCAAACAGCGTTTTTACACAATGCAGAGGATTAACCCCTTAGGTCCCACAGTGAGTATAACAATCATGCTTTACTGCATACAGACTGAATTTACTGTTGTGGGTTTAGTAACAAACAGCGAGCCTCCTAGCCACCAACCCTCTGAACAGCAATCCACCACAGATCATTTTTCAGAGGAGTGGCAAGGGCTATCACAAGGGCAAGCAAACCCCTACTGGAAGCTTTCCCCTCTCAGTGACAACATTGCAGCTTCTCCCTCACTTCCAGGCCAAGCTGATCGATCCCCCCCCCCCCCATTTTGTCTATCACCCCATGACCTGGAGTGTAGCTGGGCTCTCACCCGCAGTCCGGGGCCGGGCACCACCTGCAGTCCGGGTCGGCGGCCAGGCAGCGGCGCAGTAGGAACTCCTCATACTTGCGGGTGAGCTGGGGGTCCCGCAGGATGGCCCGGACATGTTGGGGGCTGAGGCGCTCGGCACACTCAGGGCAGCGGAGATTGACGCGGCTCTCGGTGATTTCAATCCGCAGGTACTGGCGAAGGCAGCGCAGGCAGGATCGGTGTCGGCAGCTCAGCAGTTCGGGCAGCTCCTCGGGCGGCTGACGGACCAGACATAGTGGGCACTCTAGCAGCGAGTCCTGACCGCCCGGAGAGGAGGGTGGCGGGGGAACCGAGGCCGGTACTACGGGGGGAGGAGGCGGTGACGGCGGAGGGGATGGGATGGATGGTTCTGGCACTGAACGGGTTCTTCCAGGGAACACACTGGGGAGTGAAAGGAGAAGCCGGCGACGCCGGGCCCCGGGGCAGGGTGGGGGCTCCGCAGAGCCCTCGGTCATCTTACGAACACCCGACACTTCAAACCAGGAAGTGATCAGAGTCCAGATCCACACTGCGCAGCTGCCGGCTCCACACTCCTCCACCCTGGTGACAGGACTGCACATGCGCGAATAGAAGCTAGCCCGAAGACAGTTGTACGTCAGGAGTACGTGCACCAGAGACCACGCCTCAGTCAGGGCTGCGCAATGTTCTTTAAAAAGCTTTGTGCTTGCTGCCGCTTATCATGAGACATCGACATGAATTGACAGTTTTCACTATACAGCCCTTGCTCCTTCTATAGTAGATGGCTGTGCTGTTAAGTCACATCTGCTAGGCTCGCTATTGTCAGGTCACTCTAATACAGGGGTCCTCAAACTTTTTAAACAGAGGGCCAGTTCACTATCCTTCAGACCGTTGGAGGGCTGGACTATAGTTTAAAAAAAAAAAAAAACTATGAACAAATGTGGACACAGTACATGAGATGACCAGAGACTGCGGACACAGTACAGGAGATGACCAGAGACTGCGGACACAGTACAGGAGATGACCAGAGACTGCGGACACAGTACAGGAGATGACCAGAGACTGCGGACACAGTACATGAGATGACCAGAGACTGCGGACACAGTACATGAGATGACCAGAGACTGCGGACACAGTACAGGAGATGACCAGAGACTGCAGACGTACTACAGGAGATGACCAGAGACTGCAGACATAGTACAGGAGATGACCAGAGATTGAGGACATAGTACAGGAGATGACCAGAGACTGCAGACAGTACAGGGAATGACCAGAGACTGCAGACATAGTACAGGAGATGACCAGAGACTGCGGACATAGTACAGGAGATGACCAGAGATTGAGGACATAGTACAGGAGATGACCAGAGACTGCAGACAGTACAGGGAATGACCAGAGACTGCAGACATAGTACAGGAGATGACCAGAGACTGAGGGCATAGTACAGGAGATGACCAGAGACTGCGGACACAGTACATGAGATGACCAGAGACTGCGGACACAGTACAGGGGATGACCAGAGACTGCGGACATACTACAGGAGATGACCAGAGACTGCGGACACAGTACAGGGGATGACCACAGACTGTGGACACAGTACAGGGGATGACCAGAGACTGCGGACACACTACAGGGGATGACCAGAGACTGCGGACACACTACAGGGGATGACCAGAGACTGCGGACACACTACAGAAGATGACCAGAGACTGCGGACACAGTACATGAGATGACCAGAGACTGAGGAAACAGAACAGGAGATGACCAGAGACTGCGGACACAGTACAGGAGATGACCAGAGACTGAGGACATAGTACAGGAGATGACCAGAGACTGCGGACATAGTACAGGAGATGACCAGAGACTGAGGACATAGTACAGGAGATGACCAGAGACTGCAGACAGTACAGGGGATGACCAGAGACTGCGGACACAGTACAGGAGATGACCAGAGACTGAGGACACAGTACAGGAGATGACCAGAGACTGAGGACACAGTACAGGAGATGACCAGAGACTGCGGACACAGTACAGGAGATGACCAGAGACTCGGACACAGAACAGGAGATGACCAGAGACTGCGGACACAGTACAGGAGATGACCGGAGACTGCGGACACAGTACAGGAGATGACCGGAGACTGCGGACACAGTACAGGGGATGACCGGAGACTGCAGACACAGTACAGAGGATGACCGGAGACTGCGGACACAGTACAGGAGATGACCAGAGACTGCGGACATATAACGGCGGCGGGAATACTGGGCCGGCCGCTCCATAAGACGCACAGACATTTCCCCCTAAGTGTGTCTTATGGAGCGAAATAGTGCCCCATCATTGGTATCAGGGGGAGGAATAGTGCCCCATCATTGGTGTCAGTAGGGGGAGGAATAGTGCCCCATCGTTGGTGGGGGGGGGGGGGGGGGAATAGTGCCCCGTCATTGGTGTCAGTGGGGGAAGGGGATAGTGTCCCAACATTGGTGTCAGTGGGGGAAGGGGATAGTGTCCCAACATTGGTGTCAGTGGGAGGAATAGTGTCCCATCATTGGTGTCAGTGGGAAGAATAGTGCCCCATCTTTGGTGTCAGTGGGAGGAATAGTATGTCATTGGTGTCAGTGGGAGGGGAATAGTGCTCTGTCACTGGTGTCAGTGGGAGGAATAGCACGTCATTGGTGTCAGTGGGGGGGGAACAGTGCCCCATCATTGGTGTCAGTGGGAGGAAAAGTGTCCCATCATTGGTGTCAGTGGGAAGAATAGTGCCCCATCTTTGGTGTCAGTGGGAGGAATAGTACGTCATTGTGTCAGTGGAGGGGAATAGTGCCCCGTCATTAGTGTCAGTGGGGGGGATAGTGTCCCAACATTGGTGTCAGTGGGGGGAATAGTGTTCCATTGTTGGTGTCAGTGGGGGGGATAGTGTCCCATAATTGGTGTCAGTGGGGGAAGGAATAGTGTTCCATCATTGTTGTCAGTGGGGGGGAGGAATAGTGCCCCATCATTGGAGTCAGTGGGGGGGAGGAATAGTGCCTCATCGTTGGTGTCAGTGGAGGGTGGAATAGTGCCCCATCGTTGGTGTCAGTGGGGGGAGGAATAGTGTCCCATGATTGGTGTCAGTGGAGGAATAGTGCCCCATCATTGGTGTCAGTGGAGGAATAGTGCCCCATCATTGGGGTCAGTGGAGGAATAGTGCCCCATCATTGGTGTCAGTGGAGGAATAGTGCCCCATCATTAATGTCAGTGGGAGGAATAATGTGCCATCATTAGTATCCGTGACACCAATGATGGGGCACTATTCCTCCCACTGACACCAATGACACGTAACTTGCTGATCCCTGCTCCAGCCTAGGTGCTACTGCAGCCAGCATACCTGGTTGCAGCAGCACCATCAGCATGGCACACTTACCTGTCAGCTGTCCTTCTTCACTCCGACCTCTCTCTCACTCGATGTTCGCGTGGCCGCCCGGCTCGGCCTCCTCGCAGGTGATTGGCCACCTGTGTGCCTTTCCTGAGCTACAGTTCTGGCGCCCAATCACCGGTGAGGAGGCGGAGCCGAGCGGCAGGAGTAAGGGAGTGGCCAGAGTGAATGAAGGAGCAGGGCTTCCTGGACTGGATCGTCGTGGGACTGGGACCAGAGCCAGGTAAGGTACAGCAGCCCCCTGCCCACCCCTGTACTTAGTGTCCCTTCCTGTCCCGCCCCTGCTGGCGGGCCGGATAAATAGCCTCGGCGGGCCGCATGTGGCCCGCGGGCAGTAGTTTGAGGACCCCTGATCTAATACATTGCTCCAAAAAATTGAACACTTTTTAATCGGAGTATAGCATCAAGTCAATGAAACTCCTGGGATATTGATCTGGTCAGTTAAGTAGCAGAGGGGGCTGTTAATCAGTTACAGCTGCTTTGGACTAGATGGGCAGCAATGAGAGGACCCCCAAAACAGGAAAGGTTTTACAGGTGGAGGCCACTGACATTTTTTCCCTACTCATCTTTTCTGAGTGGTTTTCAATAGTTTTGCGTTTGGCTACGGTCAGTGTCATTACTGGTAGCATGAGGCGATACCTGGACCCTACAGAGGTTGCACAGGCAGTCCAACTCCTCCAGGATGGCACATCAATACGTGCCATTGCCAGAAGGTTTGCTGTGTCTCCCAGCACAGTCCCAAGAGCATGGAGGAGATTCCAGGAGACAGGCAGTTACTCTAGGAGAACTGGACAGGGCCACAGAACCAGTATTTGCTCCTTTGTGCAAGGAGGAACAGCATAAGCCTTGCCAGAGCCCTATAAAATGACCTCCAGCAGGCCACTGGTGTGAATGTCTCTGACCAAACAATCAGAAACAGACTTCATGAGGGTGACCTGAGGGCCCGACGTCCTCTAGTGGGCCCTGTTCTCACTGCCCGGCACCATAGAGCTCGATTGGCATTTGCCATTGAACACCAGAATTGGCAGGTCAACTACTGGCTCCCTGTGCTCTTCACAGATGAGAGCAGGTTCACCTGAGCACATGACAGACGTGAAAGTGTCTGGAGAAGCCGTGGAGAACATTATGCTGCCTTTAACATTGTTCAGCATGATCGTTTTGGTGGCGGGTCAGTGAAGGTCTGGGGAGGAATATCCATGGAGGGATGCACAGACCTCTACAGGCTAGACAGTGGCACCCTGAATGCCATTAGGTATCGGGATGAAATCCTTGGACCCATTGTCAGACCCTACACTGGTGCAGTGGGCCCTGGGATCCTCCTTCTACATGACAATGCCCGGCCTTGTATGACGAGAGTATGCAGGCAGTTCCTGGAGGATGAAGGAATTGATACCACTGAATTGCCCCCACACTTGCCTGACCTAAATCTAATAGAACACCTCTGGGATATCATGTTTTAGCCCATCCGATGCCGCCAGGTTGCACCTCAGTCTGTCCAGGAGCTCAGTGATGCCCTGGTCCAGATCTGGGAGGAAATATCCCTGGACATCATCCGTTGTCTCATTAGGAACATGCCTGAACATTATCAGGCATGCATACAAACACGTGGGAGCCATACAAACTACTGAGTACCATTTTGAGTTGCTGCAATGAAATTTCATCAAAATGGACTAGCCTGCTGCATACTTTTTCACTTTGATTTTCGGGGTGTCTTTGAATTGAGTCCTCTGTAGGTTGATGATTTTCATTTCCATCAAACGATGGGGCATGCTTACATTCCTAACACATTACTCAGTCCATGTCAGTATAGATCTCCAGAATTATATTTTTCCCCATTGAGATTTGTGTTTTCAAAGTGATCCTTTAATTTTTTTGAGCAGTGTATTTTAAAAATAATTTACTATTTTTGGTCATGCAATGCTGTACATAAATGAAATTTATGTATTTTTTTTTCCCCAACAAATACAGCTTTCTTTCGGTGGTATTTGATCATCTCTTTGTTTTTTTATTTTTTGCGCTATAAACAAAAAAAGGCCGTCAAAAATTTTAAAAAAAAACCCAATATTTTTGACTTTTTGCTATAAAACATATTCAACGAAAATTTAAAAAAAATAAAATTTCTTCATAAATTTAGGCCAAACTGTATTCTGCTACATGTCTTTGCTAAAAAAAAATCCCAATACATGTAAATTAATTGGCTTATGTGAAAGTTCTAGCGTCTACATAAACGATATAGGGTCTGAGATTAAAAATCCCATTTCGGTCTTTGCAGATGACACCAAGCTGTGCAGTGGAATAATGTCTTTACAGGATGTCTTCAACTTACAAGCCAACCTCAATGCATTGTTTAATTGGGCAACTATGTGGCAAATGAGGTTTAATGTTGATAAATGTAAGGTTATGCACTTGGGGGCTAAGAATATGCATGCATCATACATACTGGGGGGGGGGGGGGTACAACTGGGGGAGTCATGGTTGAGAAGGATCTGGGAGTTCTGGTAGATCACAAGTTTAATAATGGCATGCAATGCCAAGCTGCGGTTTCTAAAGCGAGAGTAAAATCCTCTCTTGTATTAAAAGAGGTATAGACTCCAGAGAGAGAGATATCATATTAGCCCTGTACAAATCATTAGTAAGACCTCATCTGGAATATGCAGTTCAGTTTTGGGCACCAATTCACAAAAAGAACATTGGGGAACTGTAGAAAGTACAGAGAAGGGCAACCAAACTGATACAAGGCATGGAGGAGATCAGCTATGAGGAAAGATTAAAGGAACTGAATTTATTCTCTCTTGAGAAGAGGAGATTAAGTGGGATATGATCAACATGTATAAATACATCAGTGGTTCATATAGTCAACTCGGTGTAGATCTATTCACCCTGAGGTCATCACAGAGGACAAGGGGGCACTCTTTACGTCTGGAGGAAAAGAAATGTAATCTCCAAACACGGAAAGGCTTCTTCACAGTGAGAGCTGTGAAAATGTGGAATAGACTCTCTCAAGAGTTGGTTCTGGCCAGCTCATTCTTTCTTAGATACACAGAATATAACTGGATACTAACATTTATAGGTAAAGTTGATCCAGGGAATATCCGATTGCCTCTCGGGGGATCAGGAAGGAATTTTTTTCCCAGCAGGAGCAAATTGGATTGTGCTTTACTGGGGTTTTTTTTTCCTCCCTCTGGATCAACTGTGGGTATAGGATTATGACTTTTTTTTTTTTTTCTATGGTTCAACTGAATGAACTGTCTTTTTTCAGCCAGACTAACTATGTAATAGATATGACCAAAATTGAGCTCTTTGACATTAACTTGACTCGCTGTGTTTGGAGGAGGAAAAATACTGGCTAAGACCCCAAGAACACCATTCCTTCAGTCAAGTGCGGAGGTGGAAACATTATGCTGTTTTTCTCTGCTAAAGATACAAGCCGACTTTGCTGCATTTAGGGGTGAATGGATGGGGCCATGTATTGTAAAATCTTGGATGAGAACCTTCTTCCCTCAACCAGAACACTGAAGATGGCTCCTGGATGCGTCTTCCAGCATGACAATGACCCAAAACATACCGCCAAGGCAACAAAGGAGTGGCTTAAAAAGAAGCACATTAAGGTCATGGAGTGGCCTAGCCAGTCTCTAGACCTTAATCTTACAGAAAATTTCGAGTTGCCAAGCAACAGCTAAGAAACCTTAAGGATTTAGAAAAAATCTGTAAAGAAGAGTGGACCAAAATCCCTCCTAAGATGTGTGCAAACCTGGTAACCAGTTATGGGAAAAGTCTTACCTCGTGCTTGCCAGTAAGGGTTTCTCTACCAAGTACTAAGTCATGTTTTGCTTGGGGATCAAATACTTATTTTTCTCACTGAACTGCAACTCAATTTTAGCATTTGTATTATGTTTTTTTCTGGATTTTTGGTTGTCCTTAACATTTAAATACACCTTTGATAAAAGTGATAGACCCTTCATTTCTTTGTAAGTGAGCAAACTTACAAAATCTGCAGGCTATAATTATTTACCCCACTGTGTATATAAATATGGTGACGGGGAGGCTCTGTCACTGGGAGAATATAGGAAAATGTAACACAGGATTCACATTTAAGGTTAATGCAAAGTTCCATATTGCTGTTCCAGAGGAGAGAAAGCGGTGTCTGGCTTTCTCGGGATTCTGGATTGAACTTTCAAACCTGTGTCCGGGTTTTGCCAGATGCCTGCAACCTGTCTGAGTGCACAGGTGTGCAGGGGCCAATATACACACAGGTCTGAGGAAAGCTCAGGGCTGTGGCCAATTTGGAGACCACTCCCAGTGTGGGAGACAGAAAGTCTCATCTGGGGTCAGGGAGCCCCAGCCAGAAGTCAAAAAACAGAGGGTCTCAGTGAGGGGTCAGAGGTGCCCCAGCCAGAAGCCAAGAGACAGAGGGTCTTACCAAGGAGTAAGTGGTGCCCCAGCCAGAAGCCAGGAGAGAGCAGGTCTCAGTTCTAGGAGTCAGGTTCACCCCTATCCGGGGTGTCAGGAGAACCCCAATCCATAGGCCAGAGGTGAGCCTGCGACTAAAGGCTAAGAGGCAAATATTCCAGGTGAGCCAGAAAAAACAGTGAGAGACTGCTGAGAGAAGCAGCAGTACTGCCAACAAGTGAGCAAGGTGGCTCAGCATTTTTGTTTGTGTATAATGTGTGGAAGAAACCCCTGCATGGGAAACTGATCTACATGTGAACTTTCGCTTTATTTAATAAAAGTGGGCTGCCATGCCCTAAAATACAGTTTTGGACTGGTGCAACTCATTGAAAACACACCTACAGCTTGAGTTTAATCACCCCCAGTCCATATATATGTGTGTGTGTGTTTTTTTATAACAGCTTTTTCCATGCTTTAGGATTAAAAGGTACCATCAATAGTAATTGGATTTATCCACGTAAATGTCCACTTATTAATCAAGTACAGACAATTTGTGACCAGTGGGATGAAAATTCCTTTCAACAAAATTGCCGGCCCTTGCACAATTGGCTGGGACGTCTCTACAATTGGATAGTTTAGGACCCATAATCGCTGCAACAACATAGTCTACCTTGGCAGTCAACAAATGTATTACAAACAATAATATCATCTCGGAGATCTAGGTGGAACAAAGCCTGTTTGATAGGTTCGAAAAGTGAAACTTACTAGTGTCATTCAGTCAGTAGACACAAGGCAAGCTTAACGCAGAGACAAGAGTAAGCAAAAAGGTTATCTTACCAGACGCCTTTAGGTGTCTGCACACACATAGTCAATGGTCCTCTTACGGCTGTTCCATCAATTCAGTTCACTCCTGGCTGGTTCACCAAATTGACTTGACAGAACCTAAGTCACACATAAAGGCCAGCATGTGTACGTGTACAGAATCAGTCCAAGTTCAGTTCAGACTGACTGTTTATGGAAATATAAGTGGGTTTTTATACTGTAACGTGAAACAGCTTTGTACAGTATAGCATGATACAGACTGGTAAAGAATTATACAATAGTTGAAACCTTGTGTAATTAATTAGACAAATACTGGACAGATTCCCATGCCCCAGGTGGAAACTTAGGGGCATGGAAAGGTGATATCATCACATTACAAAATCTTGTAAGCAAGGCACAGTGACTATTCAGCCATTTAAAATAGATCTAAACTAAAATCATGTACTGTATAATTAATATTTTTTATTTTAAATCTACAGCTTTCAGTAAAATAATACCTGTGATCACATCATTAGGCATTTCCTATTATATGGTGACAATCTTTAGCGTGTATAGGGTGTTGCAGTCTCCCAATGCATTTTTGCTTCCTTTGGAGACTATAAGGGGCCATGCCAATACAGTGAACGGTGTTGCTATATCTGTTTCATTAGCAGCATCCATGAAATAAACCCCATGAGCTTAAGCATGCCTCCTCTGTACCCTTGAGAGAAGGGGAAGTGTACTCACGTATATTCCCAAGGAGGTTGGAGGAAAAAGAATTTTGAACATTATACTCAGTTTAGCTAATGTCAAATAGTTGGCAATCTGAATTTAGGAGGATCCCCACCACTGTATCTCCCATGTGCAACCTTCCATTAACCTCTTCCCCTCTGCCCATTGCACATACAGTAGATGGAGGACGGGAACCTTTGCCAATGCCTGTCAGGCTGATTATACACTCACAGACTGCTGTTCCAGACACTCCAGTATCCCCAGTCACTGCCCCAGTATATACATAATAAAACATGCAGCCAACCCTTGTTACCTGTCTGAGTGTGCATAAAAACACCCCTATACATCATATCAGCATCTTGCCCCATACCAGTATCCTGATCATCGCCATACATCATACCAGCACCCTGATCACTGACATACCCCATACCAGCGTCCTGATCACCACCATACCCCATTCCAGCGTCCTGGTCACTGCCATGCCCCATACCAGCATCCTGATCACCGCCATGCCCCATACCAGCATCCTGATCACTGCCATGCCCCACACCAGCATCCTGATCACCCCATATGCCATACCAGCATCCTGATCATGGCCATACCCCACACCAATGTCCTGATCACCGCCATACCCTATACGAGCATTATGATCACCACCATACTCCATACCAGCATTCTGATCACAGCCATACCCCATACCAGTGTCCTGATCACCATCATACCCCATACCAGCATTCTGATCACTGCCATACCCCATACCAGCATTCTGATCACCACTATACCCTATACCAGCATCCTGATCACCACCATACCCCACACCAGTATCTTGATCACCCCCATTCCCCATCCCAGCATCCTGACTACTGCCATACCAGCGTCCTGATCACCTCCATACCCCATACCAGCATCCTGATCACTGCCATACATGCTACCAGATTCCTGATCATTGCCATGCCCCATATCAGCATCCTCATTACTGCCAAACTCAATACCAATGTCCTGATCCCCACCATACTCCATACCAACATTCTGATCGCCCCATATCAGCGTCCTGATAACCGCCATATGTCAAACCAACGTCCAGCATGTTAGGATCTCAGCTGATCAATTTTCAAATATATATCTCATAGTTTGTAGGCTCTATAGCTTTCACACAGACACACAGCAAAAAATGATTTTTTTTTTTTCAAAATTTTAGGTATTTTTTCAATTATATAGCAAAAAATAAAAAACACAGTGGTGATATAATACCACCAAAAGAAATCTCTATCTGTCTCAAATGAAAGATAGAGCCGCCTGATTCCGTACTGCTGAATGGATCCTCCTGAGCCAACCCGAGTCCAGCCTGTAGGCCAGCCCCCTCTAGACCTAGGTGACCCTTCCCAGGTCACCGACAGTCTCCTCAGTACTCCATCTTTCATCCGACTCCCCAGCTGGCCTTACTATCCCATATTTATGGGCCGGTCCACCACTCTACCAGGGCTTCCAAACCTGGGATTGGTTAGACTAACATAAACATGCAGATTAAGTCTCCACCTTTTCCACCTACTGGCTTCTGGAAGGTTCCCATGGCCCTCCAAAACCAGGTGGAGGCGATATCCCAACCTGTTACGCCATCCAAGCATATGGTAGGATAAAGTGAGCGCTCTTGATACAGCAGCTGTAGCACTAAAGGTAACCAAATGAACCCCAATAAAACTGTATGTATAAGAAGTGCAGCGCTAATAAATCATGTGATAAGTAAAAATGAAGTAAAAATGAAAGTTCATAAAAAGTTCACAAAATAAGTTCATAAAATATGTATAAGATCCCTCCTTGTAGTAGAAAACTTGTGCCTGGAAACAGTGGTAAAATTGCGCTCTATGTCCCGGCGATCGGCGGCAATCGCTGACAGAGAGCACAGCTGCAGTAGCTGTGCTTTCTGTCAGTTCCCTGACAGCTCCAGGACACGCTGATCGGGACAGAAGAGTTTCTCTCTCTCCCGATCAGCCGTGTTCCCCGCAGTACACACCCTCGCCCCCCTAGTAAAACACTCCCCTCACACAGTTAACCCTTTCCCTGAATAATAAACTTAACCCCTTCCTCCCCAGTGCCATTAGTACAGTGTCAGTGGTTTTTTTTTTTTGCACTGATCACTGTATTGGTGTCACTGGGGATGTCAGTGGCCCCAAGTCAGTACCCCCCAATGTCAGAATGTCCACCGCAGTCCCACCATAAGTCTCTGATCGCCTCCATAAGCCGCTGATCGCCTCCATAAGCCACTGATCGCCGCCATAAGTCACTGATCGCTGCCATTATTAGTATAAAAAAAACCCTAAAAATCCCAGTATCTTTCCCGCCATTTGTAAACGCTATAACTTTCACGTAAACCAATTAATTTACACATATTGTTTTTTTTTTTTTAGCAAAGACATGTCTCAGAATGCATTTTGGCAGAAATTTATGACTAAATTTGATTTTTAAATTTTTTTTTACTTGACATGTTTTATAGCAAAAAGTCCAAAATATTGTTTTTTTCCTCAAAATTGTCAGCCTTTTTTTTAAAAAAATAAAAACCGCACAGGCGATCAAATACCACCAAAAGAAAGCTCAATTTGTGGGAAAAAAAATGATGTAAATTTCATTTATGTACCGTATTGCATGACTGCGCAATTGTCCGTTAAACTAGCGCAGCGCTGTATAGCAAAAAAATGGCGTAAATTGCAGTATCTATACCATAGTTTGTAGACGCTATAATTTTCACACAAAGCAATCAATATACACTTATTGGGATTTTTTTTTACCAAAAACATGTAGCAGAATACATTTTATCCTAAATTTATAACCAACTTTGAGTTTACTATATCTTTTTTATAGCTGAAAGTGAAAAATATTGTTTTTCTTCCAAATTTTTGGCCTTTTCTTTGTTTATAGCGTGAAAACTAAAAAGTGCACAGGTGATCAAATACCACCGAAAGAAAGCTCTATTTATGTGAAAAAAGGACGTAAATTTTGTTTGGGTGCAGCATTGCATGACCGCGCAATTAGCAGTTGAATTAGTGCAGCACCGAGTAGCAAAAAGAGGCCTGGTCATTAAGGGGGGTAAATCCTCTGGAGGTCAAGTGGTAAAAATAAGGGTTTTCTACTACAAGGAGGGATCTTATACATATTTTATGAACTTATTTTGTGAACTTTTTATGAACTTTAATTTTTACTTCATTTTTACTTATCACATGATTTATTAGCGCTGCACTTCTTATACATACTGTTATGCCATCTATCTTCACCTGCAGTAACCCGACCTTAGTCACAGACTCACACAATTACATACACAATAGATTTGCCTACACTATTCTTTTAGCCTATTAGCACACTAGAAGGTGCTACATAAATGTTATAAAACCACACAAGCATAAAGCAGGGGTGGACTGACAACTCATGGGGCCCCCAGGCAATAGGGGATCATGGGGCCCCTGTGTCCTTGACCAAACTCAAAAAAGTCTATGATAAAGGTACCAGGGACATCTCGTGGGGCCCCCTACTGACCCCGGGCCCTTGGGCAGTGCCCGAATTTCCAAATGGTCAGTCCACCTCTGGCATAGAGTATATGCCATCATTGAACCATAAACAAAGACAATATGTAGAACATAAATTTTAGCATATACTGTACATACACGTTTTTCAATTTTGTAATGTTGCAGCCCGATACAGTTGTTTAAATTCATTTTTATTTTCATTAACCCCTTCACGCCAGCACCTCCTGGCCCTTTAAGGGGTTTCTGATGCCAGGGGGTGGGGTTTAGGGTCATGTGACCACCGTGATTGGTTGTCATGGCAGTCACATGATCGAAAAGGTCCTGATCACAAGGGGAGATCGGGACCTTTCCGTGGGACGTCGACACATGTGCTGGGAGCGTGCAGGACATGCGCTCTCAGCACGTTTGTTCACAAATGGTACACAAAAATGTGGCCGCTCGGTGTCAAGGCCCAGCTGCCGAGAGGCCGCATGTTTGTGTACTGTTGGCATGAAGAGGTTAATCTACATTCAGTACCCCATAATGACAAAGTGAAAAACTGAAATATCACGTGTACTTGGGGCTATTTCACACTATAGAAACACAGTCTGGATGCATTCTGAATTATGTTCCATTATTTTTTTTTTTTGGAACTTGAACACACTGGAATTGAAAACACTGGTGTGAACTATACAATTGGAAACCATATAACCTACTATCCATGCGTTTTTCATGCAGAAAAAGATCGCAATGGATTGCATGTGGTGTGAACCGGCCCTAAGTGGCATTTTAATCAGAAAATTAAGTCCTACTAGATCACTTCAGACTGGCCCCTTTTGCAGGTATAGGTATGTAAAGCATTTAAAATAAGTGCCTACACTGTTTAAAATCCAGTAACACACTGTCTCACCCTGCTCTGCACATGCTTAGTTGCTCTCTATTTTTTTTTGGCACTGCCACAAATGTAGGGGCCTATCTGCTGACAGCCTACAAATTTACTGGTACTCAGGAGCTTTGGGCTTTGGCAAAATGGCAGCTTCCAGCAAGAAGAAACAGGAACAATGCTGGAGGCAATTTACAGCACACATTAATTTTGGTAGCATAATTATTAATGTGGAATGTATGTTCCTTGCTAAAGAACATTTGGCTTCATTCACAAAGTGGTATCTACCGCTTTTTTAAAAAAAATGCAGTAAAGGCTTTCTGGCAGCCTGACCATGCAGCTCATTTTTGTACAAGTATCGTCAATATTGTTGTCCTTGAAACAACCACACTATCTTTTTCCAGAGCAGCCTGAATTTTTCCTTCAGTTGTGGCTGCAATCTTTCTTGGTCTACCTGACCTTGGCTTGATATCAAGAGATCCTTGAATTTTCCACTTCTTAATGAGTGATTGAACTGTACTGACTGGCATATACAAGACTTTGGATAGCTTTTTATATCCTTTTCCATGTTTATAAAGTTCCATTACTTTGTTATGCAAGTCTTTTGACAGTTCTGTTCTGCTCCCCATGGCTTAGTATCTAGCTTGCTCAGTGCATCCGCATGAGAGCTAACAAACTCATTGACAATTTATACACTGACAATAACTGCAATTTAAAAAGCCACAGATGTGAGAAAAAAATTGTCCTTTAAATACCATTTTACCCATGTGTGTCACCTTGTGTATCTGTACCAAGGCCAAACATTCCAGGGTATGTAAACTTTTGATCATGGCCATTTGGGTGATTTCTGTTATCATTATGATTTAAAAAGGAGCCAAACAACTATGTGATAATAAATGGCTTCATATGACAGTTTTTTGGCATGATCAGTCATATGTTCAATATCAATGGCACAATGTCATGATTTTTGCCAGGGTATGCAAACATTCAGCCTTTGCTCCTCATTTGTTTTGAAATGTGAAGCACGCCCCAACATGTTTGCTGCGCAGTTGTTTGATATGGTCTAGACCAGTGGTGGGCAACCTTTTTTTTCAACTGAGCCAAATCTCGCCAAAACCACGATTGAAATTTATTTTGAGAGCCACATTTTTAAAACTGAAAATACATCCCCCATATAGTAATTCATCCCCCATAGTAATTCATCCCCCATATAGTAATTCATCCCCCATAGTAATTCATCCCCCATATAGTAATTCATCCCCCATAGTAATTCATCCCCCATATAGTAATTCATCCCCCATAGTAATTCATGCCCCCATAGTAATTCATCCCCCATATAGTAATTCATCCCCCATATAGTAATTCATCCCCCATAGTAATTCATCCCCCATATAGTAATTCATCCCCCATAGTAATTCATCCCCCATATAGTAATTCATCCCCCATAGTAATTCATCCCCCATATAGTAATTCATCCCCATTAGTAATTCATCCCCCATATAGTAATTCATCCCTCATAGTAATTCATCCCCCATATAGTAATTCATCCCCCATAGTAATTCATCCCCCATATAGTAATTCATCCCCCATAGTAATTCATCCCCCATAGTAATTCATCCCCCATATAGTAATTCATCCCCCATATAGTAATTCATCCCCCATAGTAATTCATCCCCCATAGTAATTCATCCCCCATAGTAATTCATCCCCATATAGTAATTCATCCCCCATAGTAATTCATCCCCATATAGTAATTCATCCCCCATAGTAATTCATCCCCCATATAGT